AGGTCTGCCTACCTTGCAGGTGCGTGGGCGGCTCTGCCCCTCCAGGGGTTACTGGGCCTGATCTGCCGGTGGGTTGCAGGTCGGCCTACCTTGCAGGAACGTGGGGCGGCTCTGCCCCTCCGTGGGTTGCTGGGCCTATTCTGCTGGTGGGTTGCAGGTCCGCCTACCTTGCAGGTGTGGTTGGCAGCTCTGCCCCTCCGCGGGCCACTGGTCCTGTTCTGTTGGTGGTCACAGTTCCCGTAATGTTCTGATTTTAGGTCTTTACGATATATACTGACTTGTGGCATCGCTGAGTCATATGGTGGTTTTATTCCTAGTTTTTTGAGGAATCTTCATACTGCTTTCTAGAGTTGTTTCATGAATTTGTAGTCCTACCAACAATATATCAGTGTACCTTTTCCCCCACATCCTTGCCAACACATATTATTTGCATTCTTTGATAATTGACATTTTGACTGGAATGAGACGAAATCTTAATGTAGTTCTGATTTGCCTTTCCCTAATTGCTAGAAACGTTGAACAGTTTTTCATATATTTGTTTGCTATTTGTATTTTTTATTTAAGAAATGTCTATAGTTTTTATATAGATGATGAATTATTTTTTTTCATTTTCTATCTAAGTTTTTGAAATAAAAATTATTTCCTTCTATCTAAAGTAAAAGCTATTCTTTTGAAATATCACATTAGTAAAGATTTAGATATCTTATTCTGATGGTTTTCTTTTCAGTCATTCTTTCAGTGAATATTATATATACTATTTGTCTTGTGTACATATATGTAATATTTGCTGTAGTATTTAACTTTCCAAAGGTATGCTTTATATTGATATTCGTGAGTTTTAGTATATCAACTTTGATATACATATAAAGATATGTCATTGAAATTATCTTCCAATGTAAAATATAATTTCATTCATTTCCTTTATTCTCATATACTTACAATTATTGTGAGGATTTTATATAAGAGCTGTTTCTATTTAAGGAATAATGAAAGTTGGCTTATGATTCTAAATTATAGGTCATGGAGAATTACTATTTTGTTGGTTTCCTGATTTTAACTATTATATGTTTAATTTGGCCAGTGATGTTTTTTTTACATTATTCATCTTAATTTATTCTTTTATTCATTTTTTGTTTTCCTGTTTCGTTTTTTTCTAGCTTGTGATGAATGGAAAACATTACCGAAACCAAATCTTCATAGAGATGTCAACAGATTTGGACACTCTGCAGTAGTCATTAATGGGTAAAAGAACATTCTGAACTTTTAGAGGGTCAAGGATGTGAATGCTTGATGCATTTATTCATTCTCGTATTCTTTGTGAAAATCATCCATTGGTATTTAATGGCACTGGATTTTATGCACCCCTATTCTATTGTGGAATACATTTTGGTTTATTAACCATATACTTCATTATTTTTTATTTAAATGTATTTGAGGGGTAGGAGAGTGATCAAGCAAAGATGCTGAGATAAAACTTTAAGTACCTTTTAAAGTCATCTGATTTTTTTTTTTTTTACTTTTTCCAGAGATCAGATAAAGAATGACTCTTCCTTTAAAAGGATCTAACTGAAGTGATGGAGAGGCTAACCCCTGTTTCTACCAATGAGAACAAAGAAAGTGAGAATTAGATTCTCATTTAGTTTTGTCCTTGACTAAATACATGATTGTTTGGACAAGTCTCTTAACTTCTCCAGACTTGACTATCCTTATATCCCTCAGGAAACTGAGCTGGAGGGTCATTAAATTACCTTTCTCCTTTAAGTTAATATGGTTTTTAAATATTTCAATAAGAAAAATTCTGTAGTGTGGACTTAGGTAACAGTAAACAATATGCAGTTTATTCATTAGCTTAAAATGTGTAATTCAGAATGACATTTTTATTATTATCTTATCCTAATTATGTAAAAATTCTTCCCTATTGCCACACAATGGCTTGTTAACCACAGTGAAGCGGTGTATATTACCAATTGATTCTCAAAAAAGTAATAAATGAAATTCAGTGTGAAATATAAAACCTCAGGCCTTTTCTGTTGAAAATTGTGTTTGATTTTTATTTTATTTTTTAATAATAAAAGATTTTTTCAACACATCTTTCTGACCTTTTACATTTACTATGTTAACAATATTTTGAGAAATAAAAAATTATGCTGTTTTGGGGGGCATGTCAAAGTTCTTTGGTAGTGGTTAGTATTAATTTAACATTGTCTAGGCTTCTCTTTCAAAATTAAAATTTAGAAAATCTTTTTGATATTTTACTCTTGATATTTTTATTTTAAAAGTAAATAACTACAAAAATAATTCTGTATGTAACTTCTTAATACTGTGTGTATTAGAATGATTAATTAAAAATTATTTCAGGTTGCAGTTCTAAAATGCATCTTATCATTAATATAATATAGCTATTAACTATTTCTTAAAAATTGTTTTCTGCTTTATTAAAGCAGTAGATATTTTTCTGATAAAAGGAATGTCGTAATTCTTGGTCCTTCAGTTTTCTCACATTATGTTTTGAAAACTTAATGTTTCCTTAATTCTTTATGATTTATAGAACATTTTGGATTGTATCTGGCAAGTCATAAAGAAATCTCATATTCGTTATTTTGGTGTTTTCATATCATATTACACGTTAGAAATATGATTTTAAGGTACATAGTATTTAAAAATAATATAAAATTTATAGTCAAATTTATTTAAAATCTAATTAGAGACTTTTAATATGTTTGTTTAAGATTCTTGTTTTATTTTTAATAGGTCCATGTATGTATTTGGGGGATTTTCTAGTGTACTCCTTAATGATATCCTTGTATATAAGCCTCCAAATTGCAAGGCTTTCAGAGATGAAGAACTTTGTAGAAATGCTGGTCCAGGGATAAAATGTATTTGGAATAAAAATCACTGCGAATCTTGGGAATCTGGAAATACTAATAATATTCTTAGAGCAAAGTGCCCTCCTAAGACAGGTAAGCTTTTATTTTTTGTTTTTCCTCTTTCTGGTATTGAAACGACTCTGACTGGAAATAGAATTTTATTTTTTTAATATGAATTACCCTAGAAGATTTCAGAAATGAAAAACTTATTATCCTCTGAATTATAATATGTGACTCAATAGGAATTAATAATTTAATATCTTTGTTAGCTACTTTTAACTATATTTTTGAAATCTGTGTATTATATCTTATATGTAACACCATCCATATGCATGAATTATTTTGTAATATAAATTTAAAATGCCTTAAATATATCATTTTAAGAAATATTACATAATTCAAAGAAATAATACAAGATGATTTATTTTGCATTTGATATTTTTCTTCTTCCTAAATTATTACCATGCCATATCTTAAAGTTAAATGTTTTTTTAGAATTTGATGATCAGTGTTCTAATTTTATGTTTCTTATAAAATGTTGAATGAGTAAATCAGGCTTATAAAAATTATCAGTCAGTATTATTTTATTTATGTCTATTTGCTTATAATCTGGATAAAAATTGTTAAGTTTGCTTTGAATTGGTGAAGGCTTCTATATATTTTTGAGGCTATAACAACAAATATATTTTTTAAGTTTTGCTAATCTATATTAACTTAAATTTCTCTGAATATATTTGTTTAAAGGACAGTAAAAAATAATTTATTCAGTTCTTTATCTTCCAAAATGTATAAATTTAAATGTCTGGAGGATTCTGATAGATTGAATTGTTAAGATGCAGAAAGTAGGTATTTAAAATCTTGTAAACACAAATAAGCTACCAGGTTAACTTCATCCTAGAGAACTGTTTTTGCCAGCGTAGTTTTTTTTTTTTTTTTGGTTAAAAATGTCTCAGTGATCCTTAAATAGATATTATAAATGTAAGAAGTGTGGCAATTTTCTTTTTTTGTCCCAATGTTTTTTATCTCCCATTTGTATTACAGCTGCTTCTGATGACAGATGTTACAGATATGCGGATTGTGCCAGCTGTACTGCCAATACGAATGGGTGCCAATGGTGTGATGACAAGAAATGTATTTCAGCCAATAGTAACTGCAGTGTGGTTAGTATTATGGGTGAACAGTGATGTACTTAACGTTGCTGCATTATATCACTCCCTCACTCACCCACCATTTGGTAGTACAGTACAAAAATAGAACTTTACACATTAAGACATTAAATATGTAGGGAATCATTCACTTATTGGTACATTATAAAGTCAGACTGGAGTTTTTTGCTCAGATTTTTCAGTCTAGATTCTGTTTTGGATATAGTAATTTTCATTTATGTTTGTGGATAAGACTAAAAAATTTTTAAAAATTAAAAAAAAGACTAACTTTAAATGTTATCTTCTTTACTGATAGAAATAGGATTATTTAGGTGGTTGAAATCATTTCCATGGGATTCCTATATCAAAAGTGATGTCAGGCTAACATTTTGTTCATATACTTTTTGTTGAAATATAACCAGAGATGTTGATAGTAGTTTCTCTTCTGTATTTAGATTATTGGCTCTGAACTTGAAGCAATTTGTCCCATGGGGGACATTTAGCAATGTGTGGAGAAATTTGTGGTCATCAGAACTATAGAGCGGCTGCAGACATCTAGCATGTAGGGGCCAGCGATGCTGTTAACCCTTCTACAATGCATGGAATACCCCTTCCACAGCAAATAATTATCTGGCTCAAAATGTCAATAGTGTTGAACCTCTTTTGTAAATGAAGGACTACTAAAAAAAATTCCAATATTAATATTTATAGTAGATGAAAATGAATTAGGAGCAGCAAATTTAAGACTTTAAGTGGATAGAATCAAAGTATCATATTTTAAAAGAATATATCAAAAGCTGTAAGGGAAATTTTAAAAAAGTAGTATTCAGTGGATTAAAAGGCTTTTTTTTATTAGTCTATAGGTTAAGTAAAAAGAAATAATGTGTACATAGATTTCCAACTAAGTACAGTATTTAGTGTGTTACTATTTCTAAATTTTTACTAGTCAACAAATGGTCCACATATTTTTCAGGATAATAGAAATAAAAGGTTAAAAAAAAAGAAAAGGATTTGTAAGTAAACGGATGGAGTTGGAGAATATAATGCTAAGTGAAGTAAGCCAATCCCCCAAAACCAAAGTTTTCTTTGATATAAGGATGCTGATTTATAATAGAGATTGGGGGGAGCATGGGAGGAATAGACAAACTTTAGACAGGGTAAAGGGGAGGGAGGGGAAAGAAGGGGGCATGTGTGTGGGAAGGTGGTGGAATGAGATGGACATCATTACTCTAAGTACATGTATGAAGACATGAATGGTGTGACTCTACATTATGTATAACCAGAGATACAAAAAATTGTGCTATATATGTATATTATGAATTGAAATGCATTCTGCCATCATATATAATAAATTAGAATAAATAAAAAAATTGATAACTAAAAAAGGAGGATTTGAAAATAAGTAAAACTTATGGTTATATCATCTAAAAGTTTTCCTCAATAACCAATAATATTTCAAAATATTTAGATTTTATGATTTTATTCTAAAATAGTATTCAAACTTGAAAAGGAGAAAAATTAGCAGTTATTGACTGATTAGTTTGAACCCTTTTTCTTTCATACATATTTTGTTGGTATATACTTTCTAGTTTTATAAGTTGCTCTAATAACAAGCTATGCTTCAGTTCTGTTTGAGTTTTAACGTAAATATGACATAACTATGCATTGAAAATTTAAATTATAGTTTTATATTTTCAATAATATTCATTTAATTGAAATTTATTTTAATGGAAATAGGTGCTAGGTAAATAAGACATAGGAATAAAGGACTTGTACTTGGGTTCTTCAGAGAAACAGAGCCAGTAAGATACATACTATGTACATAATATTTATAATAAGGAATTAGCTCACATGAGCCAATTATGAAAATTATGAAATGTCCCATGATCTGCCTGCCATCTGCAGACTGAAAGCCCAAGAATATTGGTGGTGTAAATTCTGGTACAAGAATGGAGGCATGTGAAGCTGGGCATGGCACAAACTTATAATCCCATTGGCTTGGGTAGCTTAGGCAGGAGAACCCTGAGATCAGAGCCAGCCTCAGCACCAGGGGGCGCTAAGCAACTCAGTGAGACCCTGTCTCTAAATTAAATACAAAATAGGGCTGGGTATGTGGCTCAGTAGTTGAGTGCCCCTGAGTTCAATCCCTGGTACCCTCTCAAAAAGAATGGAGGCCTGTGAATCAGTAGCTCTAGTGGTGTAAGTTCTGGCCAAGGACAGGAAAAGACTGCCTGAGCTCAGTAGTAGGGAACAGAGAAATTCTTTTCTTAACCTTTTTGTTGTATTCAGGCCCTTGGTGTACTGAATGATTATCCATCTTCAGGAAGGTATTTTGCTTTTCTGAAGTCTATGGATTCAAATGGTTATCTCATTTGGACTCATCCTCATAGACATACCCAGAAATAATATTTAGCAAAATATTTTATCTGTATCCTGGTCAAATTTACACTTAAAATTAATTTTCATGTAATTAAAATAGAAAACATTATTGATTAAAAATTGCAAGAAGATTTTATTTTAACCTTTCTGAATAACTGCATAATTGTAAAAAATAAAAATTTATATCTCATGGCTCTCTATGTAGGCTAGGAAGTTAAACCATGCACGGACAGATTCAGATCTGGTGAGGACCTGATTTCTGGTTCATAGAAGGACCTGATTCCTGTCTTCTTAATGCTTTCTCCCAATGGCAGAAGGGAAGCTACTGTTTCTTCAGCTCTGTATAATGTTACCAATCCTAAATTTGAGTACTTCGCCCTTCTGACCAAAATCACACATAAAGTCCTACCCTCCTGATACCATCACTTTAGGGGTTAGGCTTCAACATATGAATTTTGGGGTATACATTCAATGCATGCAGACATTTGTATGTGTAAGATGAACACGCTAGGTGAAAATACACATCTCAAAACTCACATTATGTAAAATTGCTATCAAATACTATTTATAATGTGTGATTTGGTTTATATTTTATTTTTAATAATGTGTTAACAAGGAATGCATTGGATAACAGTGTACACAAGGAGATAGTATGCACTTATTAATGTTTTAATTTAATCTTTTAGCCAGTTTTATCAAAACGTCTGGTGATTAGGCTAAACCAAGTGCTACTGGATACAAAAGGTCTATAGAATTTTAGACAAAATTATGTGTATTGATATTCTATTTCATTATTTAGCCATATTTTCTACAAGTTGCAAAATTTTTTTCTAATACATCAACTAATCTGTATGTTTCTCCTGGATTTACATTTGAAATTTACATCTTAATATAAGGAGAAGATTAGGAGCGTAATGGTTACTCTCCATAGCCAGTTTACTAATGCACATCTGGTTCATTACATCAAAAATGTAGCCATGTTTCAGAATAACAGTCAGACTTCTTCTATTATTGGTACATTGTTCCTGTGAGAGAAATGCAGTTTCATCTGTTGTACTTGTTCAGTATCAGTAAATGACTCTATTGTTCTTAATGAAGAGCAGTAGAATTATTGGATGGGGATTCTGATGTTACTGTCATTATTTTGAAGACCAACATTAAGCTGTTATTTCTTCTCTTATTCCAGCATGTTTAGCCATACTCCTGTCATTTTTATAAATTACTTTATTTAACAATTAAACTTGATTTATTTCTTTTCAGTTAGCTGGCAAATGTTTAAAACTATACTTTTAATGATCATGTAAAATAATGTCAACAAAATCTATTAATCAGAAAAATATCCAGAAAAAAAGTTTATATGTTCATAATGAAAATGTGGTGATTGAATAAGTCACAAAGTAACTTGAAATTTATAAATATGTATAAAATGGAATATTTTATAGAAAGTAAAGATGAACATTATATATGGGTACTTTTATTTATATTACAGCAAACGTAATGTGCTCTAAAGAAATTAATACCTATGAAATGGAAGTGACTGTTGTGTATTTTATAAAGGAGAGTATTATTCTTCGTGAATAAATATTTAGTGAGTGACATTTAAAATACCTAAAAGGATAAAAATTGTTTTAATAATTTTATATGTAGGATAGTTGTTCCTTAATTTTAATTTTTAGCCTATTTATTGAAGATATTTAACTCTTTTACATGAGAAGGTCTAAGGAAAACATTTGCATCAAATACACAGGAAAGATTGTTGTAAGGCTTAGGGTGCAGAATTAATTGTTTTGTATTTTTTTCATCATAAATGGAATCACAGGAAGAATTGAGTAAAAATTTTTAATAGCTGATTTTCCAGGAGGTAGACTTTGTCATAGATAATGAAGTCATGTGAGGTAGTTGAACCTAGGTTTTTAATAAGGAACTACAATCAAAGTTCCTATATGGCCTTTTTTCTTTCTTGACCTTTAATCTTTAACTTCAAGTTGCAATGATTATATTATGTAGTAGTATTAAAAAAATTTAGAAGCTTTTTTAAACCTCTATGAAGGAAATATGACAGGTACATGCAAGAGACACATTAACTTTTATTTAGGATTGTGGAAGTAAAATTATTTTGAGTTATTGTGAAAGTATTTTTTCAGATTGTATTGGATTTTCATAAATCTCTCTCTCTCTCTCTTTTTTTACTACTTATCATGTTGTGCTTTATTTCCAAGGGTTTGCATGATATTTTATTAAGACTGGAATCGTATCATGTTTTCATTAAGGGCAATGACTTTATATATTGATTTTATTTAATTGTAAGCTATTTTCAAACTCTTTTAAAAAAGTTTTCATTACATAGATTCAATTTCAAATTGTACAATTTGCACAAGTTTTAAAATTAATTTTAGAATTTATATATGTCAGCAGAATGCATTACAATTTTTATTACACATAGAGCACAATTTTTCATATCTCTGGTTGTATACAAAGTATATTCACACCAATTTGTGTCTTCATACATGTACTTTGGATAATAATGTCCATCACATTCCACCATCATTTCTAACCCCATGCCCTCTCCCTTTCCCTCCCACCCCTCTGCCCTATCTAGAGTTCGTCTATTCCTCCCCTGCTCCCCCTCCCTATGCCACTATGAATCACCCTCCTAATATTAGTGAAAATATTTGGCATTTTTTTTGGGGGGGGATTGGCTAACTTCACTTAGCATTATCTTCTCTAACTCCATCCATTTGCCTGCAAATGCCATGATTTTATTCTCTTTTATTGATGAGTAATATTCCATTGTGTATATATGCCACTTTTTTATCCATTCATCTATTGAAGGGCATCTAGATTGGTTCCACAGTTGAACTATTATGAATTGTGCTGCTGTTTTTTGATGTGGCTGTATCCCTGTAGTATGCTATTTTTAAGTCCTCTGGATACAGACTGAGGAGAAGGAAAGCTGAGTCAAATGGTGCTTCCATTCCCAGTTTTCCAAGGAATCTTCATACTGCTTTCCATATTGGCTGCACCACTTTGTAGTCCCACCAGCAGAGTCTGAGTGTTCCTTTTTCTCCACATCCTAGCCAACACTTAATTTTGTTTGTATTCATGGTAGCTGCCATTCTGACTGGAGTGAGATGAATCTTAAGATTTTTTTTAATATTTATTTTTTAGTTATAGGAAGACACAATATCTTTATTTTATTTTTATGTGGTGCTGAGAATTGAACCTAGTGCCTCATGCATAGTAGGCTAGTGTTCTTCCTCTGAGCCACAACCCCAGCCCGAAATCTTAAGAGTTTTGATTTGCGTTTCTCTAATTGCTAGCAATGATGAACATTTTTTCATATACTTGTTTATAGATTGTATATCATCTTCTGAGAAGTGGAAGTTTTTTTTTTTCAATAAGAACTCATTCTAATTACTACAACAATAGTTAAACTTGCTAAGAGAAAAAATTAAATAAATGGAATTTAGCCTAGTTTGAGCAAAGAACAATTCATGAATTGGGCAGAACTCTGAACCAATAGAGGTTTGGAGAGCTCCTCCCCAAATCAGTTGGTATTTATAGCAGGACAATAATAGTAATATACAGAAATAGCTCAATTGGTTACATGGATGCTTGCCTTACTTGGGAATGGTGTGATGATATAATTGCCTTATATGGACATGGTCTGATCAGCTGGCAGCCTGTGATTGTCTGAGATCATTTATCTATTGCAAGCATGTACTCAATAAGTAAGTTGCAGTTTGCTTACTTACTATGTTAGCTTGCAGTGCACTATGTATAAAGGTAAATTAGTACCAAATTTAATGTAATAAATAAATGACATAAGTAAGAGAGTTCCGATTCAGTAGAATTGGATTTAGAGTTGGAAAAATGTATTTATAAAGTTCACCAGGAGACTTAAAATACACTGATGTTTAAGAATCACCACTTGTGCAATGATGAAAAACAACATGCTTTATCTTTTGATTTTCTAGTCTGTCAGAAACTACACCAAATGTCATGTGAGAAATGAACAGATTTGTAACAAACTTACTAGCTGTAAGAGCTGTTCACTGAATTTGAATTGTCAGTGGGATCAGCGACAACAAGAATGCCAAGCTTTACCAGGTAAAAATTTCAAAATTTGGTAAATGAGTTGTCTAGTTTACAGATGACTACCATTAGAGTAAAGTGTTTTTAGTGTAAATGTTATATTTTCTTAAATTAAAGCAATGAGCAAGGATCAAATTATAATATTAGAATAATAACATTGTTGTTTCTTTAAGAAAAATTTCATAATAATACATTGTTTTTGGTTCTTTTTATTATTTTATTTTTTTATTATTACTATGGACTTTGTTAGATACCTCTTCATTTTAAGATATCTTAATAACAGACAACAATAGGTACTCAAAATTTATTATCCAGATTTAACAAATGTTAATATTTTGTCATACTCGTTATGATTTGAAAGTGCCCTTTATTTTAAAAATTCATTGAATATTTCTATTTTTATTAACTATGACATTATATAAATATTATTTGTTTTTATAAGAATCTAAATTGTACAGTCCAGAGCAAAGCTCATTTTAAGTGATTACATTTTATTTTCAGTTAGGATTCTTATTAGATTCTAAGTACTTTTCCTTTTAAATGTGAAAGATAATGACAGAAAGTAAAAAGAAAATAATTTAAGTGTTTAATGAGGTTCATCTTTTTGTTGTACAGATGAATTTAGACACATGGTGGCAAAATGACTAGCTCAAAACCTCATGTGTTGTAAATGGCAAAGTTGTAACTATTAAAAGGGTGTTTTATTTTTGTTTAATTTTTGCCTATTTCCCCTCATGAAAAATTTTTGAACTGGGGGCTGGGGTTGTGGCTCAGTGGTATAGCACTTGCCTCACGTGTGAGGCACTGGGTTCTATTCTCAGCACTGCATATAAATAAATTAATAAAATAAAGGTCCATCAACAACTAAAAAGTATTTTAAAAAATTTCTGAACTGATATAATTCTAAAAAATATTGGAAAATTTAATCAGATTTCATGTCTGAAAGATAATTTTTCTTACAAATTCATGTAATAAAATGAAAACTTCTTTGCTTTTAAAATGTTATTGAGGTTTTAGAATGTTTATTTGTCTGTTTTCTGTTACTATAACAATATATGATTCTGGGTAATATATAAAATAAAGAGTTTTGGAGTCTGAAAATTCAAGATCCAGCAACTCCCTAGGTTTAGCCTCTGATGAGATTCTTCTTGGATATGTTACATTATGACAAATGGCACCATGTTAAGAACACATGGGAGAGGGAGAGGTCACAAGGTAAGAAAGGAAATGAGAGAAGAGAGAGAGAAAGAAAAGGAGAGAGAAACATAAATTGGGGAGGAACCAAACTCTTAATAACAACTGTCTTGTGAAAACTAACTAGGGTCCCAGGAGGACTACATTAATTTCTCTTGAGAGCAGTCCTCTCAATGACCTCTTACTAAGCTCTACCTCTTAAAGGTTCCAACACCTCCCCTGATGTCATACTGGTGACCACACTTCCAACTCATGAACACTTGGAGGACATACATTCTCAAACCATATCCAAACTATAGCAGGATATTTCTTCAAATTTTGAATTTTATTTATTTACTGATCTTTAAAGCTTTTAAATAGTAATATGTGCATATGTTATAATTTTGAGAAAATTAGAGAATATTAGTTTGGTAGGCAGGATTTGTGAATCAATATGAGATAACAATAAAAAGTTGGAAGTAATATTGAACTTTAACAGTTGAGCTACAACATTTAACATGTAGATCATTTATAATGCTTCAGAGTCTCCTGTAAAAGACAAAATTCTGGACCAAAATGAAATTTGACTATAAGAATGTATATATTTAAAGGAAGATTGCTTCAATCATAAAGTAATTTGGTTGTCATTAGAAGTTTGGAAAATATAACAGTGAAATTATCTTTGTTAGTACCCATCTCCTTATTCCTTAGGAATTAAATATTACTTTGTATATGGATTCTACTTTATATATACAGTAACTCTCCTTTCTACATTAGTATTTAATAAGCAGACAACTGGGTATATCTCATCTGGTTTCCATTTAGCTTGTCTCAGTAAGTAAGTGCTCTCAAAAGTGGACTCAAAAGAGCATTTTTCCATGAAAATTGGTGAACTGCGTTTTTTTTTTTTTAGCGCGTCAATCTCATATGAGCTAGACAATTTGAATTTATCTCACTAAACTTACTAAAAAAATTAACTGCTTTCCTTTTAACAACATAGCTGAGTTGACACTCAATATTATAAAAGCCCAATAAAAATATTTGGTTTATTAGTATAATTTAGTTTAGCTTCAAAGGCCCATCATTTGTTTTCTTTTGTATGATTTGTCAATCAGTTATTTTTGTTTTAATTGAAAAAAAATAAAGAGGCAAAAATAATCTAAATCTTTTTTTGATTCAGTAAGGTAGGAAAAAATCCCCACAATTTAACAAGATTTTCATAAGGAAAAGTGATTTGGTACTCCATCTTCTTTAAAACCAAAAGACTGCTGCACATTTGATCTCAAAATGAAAGAAAGCAAGGTCATACCCATAGATATTAGATGATAATTATAATTTATTGAGGGATATTGGTAGAGTACACTTGTAATGGGATTTAAAATTATAACTCTAAGTTAATTAATATTTTTAAAATTATCAGTGTTAATATGATCAAAATCTCTCTATATAGTATCCATTAAGAAAGATCTGTGGGGCCCTCAATGATTTTTAAGAGTTAAAAACTGGGCTGAGGTTGTAGCTCTGTGGTAGAGTGCTCTCCTTGCATGTGGAAGGCACTGGGTTTGATCCTGAGCACCACATAAAAATAAAATAGAGGTATTGTGTCCATCTACAACTAAAAATATATTTAAAAAAAGAGTTAAAAACTAAGATATTTCAGAACTACTGCTTTAGAACAGTTCCTAAGAGTTGCAGGAGTACATTAGTCCTTTTCTAAATTGCAAGAGGCACTGCTGTGTTTAATGTAATATGGAGAATAAAAATCTTACCGAGTAGATCAGTGTGTTCATGAAACACTGCATTGTTCATTAGTACACTCTAGAGCAGAACTTTATACTATATGTGTTTATAACATATGTTTTAGAGACTAGGTGCTGTTTTAAGCTTAGCTGGACTACTGTAGATAAACTATTGCTGAATAGTTATTTAAACTCTAGTAAGGCAAGAAGACCTATGTAAAAAAGATTCTAGAAAGCAAAAATTAGAGCTTTTTAATAGCTTTTTTACAAAACATAAGTGGAATGAAATGATCTACTCATGCCTAAAGAATCAAAGAACCTAACATACTAAAACAGTATACCTGGTCCCTGGAAATTAGATTTGGAGGTCAATTAGCCCACATATAGAATTAACTTTGAAATTGCTTTTGTTTTATTCTGATAATTTTCTCTTAAGGTGATCTTAGCTGGACTTTAGGACATAAATATAATAGTGATTTTGTTTACTGAATGAAGTATTAAATGCTAATACACTATTGAAAATCTAGCAAGCTGTCAGTATAATTTAATAGTTATTATAGAGCTACAACTCATCTTGTTTAATAATTAAAGAAAAAATAGGGTCTTCTTTTTTCATTCTCCAACAAATTAGTAGACAATTTTATGTTAAGATACTGAAAATGTTTTATTTAAAATGTAATTTAAATGATATGACGTTATGTTACAATTCTGAAATAATTAAAAAATATATATGCTCTCAAAATAAGACATTTTTTTTCTTTGACTAGCTCATCTTTGTGGAGAAGGATGGAGTCATATTGGGGATGCTTGTCTAAAAATCAACTCCAGTAGAGAAAGTTATGACAATGCAAAACTTTATTGCTATAATCTTAGTGGAAATCTTGCTTCATTAACAACTTCCAAAGAAGTAGAATTTGTTCTGGATGAAATACAGAAGTATACCCAACAGGTAACCATAACTGTGCTATCAAGACCCCATAACTCTTAGAAGTGATTAATTCTAATTGTTTTTTTAAAATACATTCTTACTAAATTCTAGAAATGAAAGTGGAATTGATTTAAAATGATAGCAGGCAGAGGATTGATTCTATATGTATATTTGGTAATAAGTTTCTTATCTCATGTTTTACACAGTAAAGCAATGCACTACCAAGAAATACCAAGAAGTGATTTCATATGAATACATACTCTTAACATTTGCATATAATTTAATAATTTTAATACCACTCTGTATAGAGGGGCAGAGATGATTTTGGCTTGAAGATTTTCAGAATAGAGATTATCAGTTACATGCTATGGCAACACTTAAATAATTCTGTGTTGGTATAGATGATTTTAAGCAATATTGTGGACAGTATCTCTGCAACTTAATAGCAAGTTAACCTCCCTAATTCTGTGTTACTCATTTGTAAACTGGGATGATAAAAATAGCTATCTGGACTATTAAAGTAATAAATGAGACATTACATATAAAGATACATTTTATTTTTGAGTATTTACTATGATCATCATTATTATTCCCATTTATGGAATATTACTTTTTTGTCTTTGTCCCCAGCACTGCTATTACTACTCTTTCCAAGAATCATTTAAAAGATTAATTATTAGGTAAAAAAATTAACTTATTTGATGGGTAGTTAATATTGGAATTCATTAGAGAAAACTATTTGCCCTATACTAGTTTTTTATTTTTTTATGATAAATAACTAAAATTTTTGCAGGGACATTCAGTTCACTCTCATTGCCTATCCTAATTTTTGTGATGGTATTAACATGTATATTTCTCAAGAAACCCAAATAATGGATAATATAGTTTCTAATGTTAATTGTAATCTTTAAGTCCAAAGATCTCTGCCTCATTAATTTAATATATTAATTATATTTTTTAGCTTTTAAAAATAGCCAAGTATTTTGAAGTTCATCTGATAATATGAAAATTGTTGGCCTCATGACAGATTTTGTTTATGCCTGGGACTAATAGGATAAAAAAAAAACTATACTAATTAAATTTGTATTACCAGTTGATTCATAAAACTTTGTTTTGTGAACTATAGTTATGTTTTCTGAAGGATGTACTGGTATTTATTTATTTAGTACACATTTATTAAGCACCCTAAGTGTACTTGGCAATCTACTGCTTGCCGAGAATGTGGAAATAAAAAGACAATCATTGCTTTCAAATGATTTTAGTGTAGGGGGATTTTAGTTAGAGGGAAACAAACACAATTATACTAAATTGATAATTACAATGATAGATGTCCACAGGGTGGTAGGAGATGATAGAGGGTAGACAGCTAGTCAGTAATGTGTACTTAAGGAGAGCTTGTATGAAATGGTTTAGCTAAGTTTTGTAGGAATTGGAGTAGGCCAGTCCTTGAGGATGTTTGTAAGGCAGTCTGAGAAAATTCCTCCTTTTTTTTTTTTCACACTTTGAGAGCTATAAGCTTAATGGCTGGAGGAAAAATGAATGTGGTGACATAGAGAGGATCTATTGATTTTTAAAAATATTTTGGAAATATGTGACAGGTTTTTCTTTTTTTATTGTTGTTGTACTGGGAATTGAACCCAGGGTTTTGCACATGCTTAGCAAGCTCTCTACCACTGAGCCGAGTCCCCATCCCTAAACTAAAAGATTCTATTGTTTATTTGTTTTATTTTTGTAATGGTAAGGATTGAACCCAGTCTTGTGCATGCTAGGCAAGCACTCTACCACTGAGCCACATCCCTTGCCCTGTACTTGTTTGTTTTAAGTGGTACTGAAGATTGAACCCAGGCAAAAACTCTACCTCTGAGTTATATCCCCAGCCCCTGAGGTATTTAAGTTTTATTTTTAAGCATATGGAATTTACAACATAAATTAAGATCTGTTTATATTCTTGTTAGGAGTTTCATGTCTATAACTACAAAAAAATGAGGAGTAATTACCAGAAACATGTAAAAATTATTAAATACCTGCTACTTAGGAAGACCTTATTATCTGCAAGAACCACATTTTCAGAGTTTTGGAAAGTATTTAGCATTAAAGCTCTACTCTCTTTTCTTGGTTTAAAACATTATTTTTAGTTGCTATCATATAATCTTGAAATATGCCATTTTAGAAGTTGTATATCTCAGGATTTTTTGTGTCAGTAGCTATTTTTTCTTGCCTATTATAAATCATAAAAATTTGGCTAATAATTATTTTGAATCTGTGATGAACTTAGACTTGATAGTTTGCTGACTAGTAAAATATGTAAGTGAAGAATGTTTTGTTTTATCAGAAAGCTAAGCTTTTAGCAGAATTTCAAAGTGGAAACTTCTGCAAGGTGACATTCCATTAGGCATATCTTTATATAAAATGAAATATATCCCGAGTCATTGCAGTTGTATAAACTTAAGATAACCCTTCCTTGGCAAATAAAGATCAACAAATCCATGCACTTGAAAGAGATATGTTGGGTCAAATGATCATTTACTTATCAGAAATGGCTAATGAAATGTTACAGTGATTTATGGTGTGCTGCTATAAATTTTCATAATATAGTAATTTATCTTTCATTTTCAACTGCCTGTCTGGTTCATTTACTGAGTAATAGTTACTTTAAATGTTTTATCAGCTGCTTCATTTTTGTTTCTCTTCTCTTCCTATATGATTCTTATCATGATGAGTTAGGGAGTAATATTTCATTTTAAATGACTTGTCTTTTCCATAGATAGTTGGGAAATATAGGCAGAATTGCTGTAATGTGAAACATACTCGTTAATCTGAAATATCTATGTTGGATTGATTATCCAGAAGTTGTTATTACCAAGAACTTTAAAAATGTTATAGCTTATTATTAAAATATCTTTTAGAATAATGTGTGAAATATATGAGGACACGAGTGAAGCAATATGTGTGTTTTCAAAATTAGAAACACCATTTAATAAGTTCCATCTCTGTATCAGGCATTCTGCAAGATGGTAGAAAATAACCATTTTTATTCTAATGAACTTTGTTTAGAAAAATTTCTTGATTAATTACTGTACTGTACTCTATTGGCAATATGAGATATATCATGATGAAAATTCATAAGGGATTTAATTTTTTTGAAGAAATATCTGTTGGGAATATCTGTATAAAATTCATTATATTTATGTACTTTGCAAATTTCTAGTTCTAAAGCTATCTTTTACACCTCTAGGACCATTTGTACAAAATAATTAGAATTAATAATGGAATAAATATCATTTTTATATTGATGGAGAGGCATATCTTTTCTCTACCCTGGCACCCTATAGTTTAATAATTAAAAAAGGAATGATGTGCAATTTTGAAACAATCTTACATGATAATAAATATTGGTACCTTAGTATCTCAGAATATATATGTATTATATATATTAAAACTAAGGTGTTTATAATCTAATAGAATTTTGTGATGATAGTAATTTGCATCAAGAATATTTCATTTTTTGGATAACCATAACATTATATAGCATATTTTAAATCACAATAATGAGTAAAATAAAGTATGTAAATATAGATTAGATTTTGATTTAAGTCTAATTTTGTTTTAATTTAAGTCTAAATATTGCTGAAAGCATTAAGAATAGTTATGTGGTTTTTGTGTACCTATTAAAATTTCAGAATAAGAATCATATGTTATCAGTTTTCTTGAGTACTTTATTAATGAAAGTGGATGACATTTAATCTGAAGTTGTGTAAAATGAACTTCGTAGTAGTGAAGGTCTGAATTAGGAGAGTCAACTACTCCTTTCTCAGTTTTTTTGTGTGAAATCATGTTATGAAGTATTCATTTAGATTGTATACTGTGTTTGTTGATTTTGTTTTCTGTTTTTGTACAATGCAGATGGTGACAATTTATCATTAGATTCTTAACCCCATAACCAATTAACCCTTTAATTTGATAGTAGTAATAATATTGACAGGTGCAGCAGTAGCGATATGTTCAGTTTTATAATGATTTTGCCTCATATGATAGATATTTAAATTAGGCATTTATTTATACCCCCATTCCATAGAAAACAGACTCATAAAGGCTAAATAAATGACCCTAAACATGTATATAAACAATAAAACTATAATTAAAATAGTGTTCTATTCTACATCATCTAAAATGTGCCAGGATTATTAATTATTATTGGTACTAAAATTGACTACTACACAGGTGGTTCTGTATACTGTCCAGTGTAATTTTAAATTGAAATCATATTTTTATTTGATGAAGAACACGAGTCAGTAGTTTTACATCTAACTTTTAAAAATGCCTCTTTTCCTGTTTACAGAAAGTGTCACCTTGGGTAGGCTTGCGCAAAATCAATATATCCTACTGGGGATGGGAGGACATGTCTCCTTTTACAAATACGACTTTACAGTGGCTTCCTGGTGAACCAAATGATTCTGGATTCTGCGCATACCTAGAAAGGGCTGCAGTCGCAGGCTTAAAGGCAAATCCTTGCACATCTATGGCAGATGGACTTGTCTGTGAAAAACCTGTTGGTAAGTATTCCTGAAAATTAGCATTTATTTAAAAATGTTTTTTTTTTCCTTTTTTGGGGGTAGGGAGGATGAATACCAGGGATTGAACTCAGGGAGACATCTCCAGCCTTATTTTGTATTTTCTTTAGAAGACAGGGTCTCACTGAGTTGCTTAGGGCCTCACTGGCTTTGACCTCCTGATCCTTCTGCCTCAGGCTTCTGAGCTGCTAGAATTATAGTCATACACCACCACACTGGGCTAAAAATGCATTTCAAGCCCTCTCTGCACCATCTTTTTCCAGGGTATAATCTGAAGTAATTCACAGCATCTTTTTATGATACACTGATTCCCTGATATTTATTTTTATCCACATTCCCCACTTATTGTTTTTTATCTCAGCATTAATTAAAAATATTGTTTTATGAATCTATTTACTAAAATAGTGTGATTATGAATATATGGTTGTAGTTATAGTATAGTAATAATCTCTTAATTTGCTAATGTCTTTTACATTTATCATAGTAGTGTTTGAAAGATTTGTCTTTAAGACTAATGATTGAGATTTTTTAATCTTATAGATAAATGTTTTAGTTGTCAAGTAAACAGAAATATTTGTATCTTTTGAAATGGATTTTCATTAAGTGAGAAAGTAATATTGACTTCTTATAAAATTTTGCATATTTATTGTGGTAAATATGTATAATATAAACTTATCATTTCAATTATTTTTAAGGGTACATTTAAGGACATTAAGGACATTCACACTGTTGTACAACTATCAACACCTATTCATCTCCAAAACATTCTTATTTTGCAAAACCACAACTCTGAACTTGTTAAATCATGGCTGCCAATTTTCCACCTGCTTAGAGCCTGGAAACCAGCATTGTTTTGTCTTGGTGAATTTGAGACTTAGGCATCACATGTTTTGTACCTTTGGGAGCAGCTTACTCTTAGCATAGCATATGTCTTCACAGTTCATCCATGTTGTAGCGTGTCAGAATTTTAAGGTTGAATAACATTTCTGTTATATGTATCCACATTTTGTTTACCCATATATCCATCAACAGCCACTTGGGTTGCTTCTGCCTTTTAGTTATTGTGAATAATGATGCTATGAATGTGGGTACACAAATATTGAGTTTTTGATTTCACTTTTTTTGGGGTACCTAGTATAAAGTGAAATTGCTAAATCATATAGTAATTCTGTTTGAGTTTTTAAGGAATTGCCATACTCTTTTCTATAAAGACTGCACCAATTTTACATTCCCATCAGCAGTGCATAGTTTCTACTTTCTCTATATCCTTATTATTTACTTTTTTAAAAAGATAATAACTATCCTAAGACTATCCTAAGGGTATTATGAATATTGTATTTGCATAGAGAGAGAGTTGTATTTTTATTGTTTGGTTATGTCAGACACATGTTCACTGCCAAGATGTTTGCTGTGATAACTTGTGGAATATTTACATAAAAAAATTGTGGCTGGGGAAGTAAATAATGCATAGTATCAAGTACATAGAAAAACTAGGTTGCAGATTATATTACCTTCATAATTTTTAGAACGGTACTATTTGTAAGGAATTTAAAACTTTACAGGAATTACAGATTTTCAAATTTCAATAGTAAATTTAAGTAGTATTGACATATCATCTTTATTTTTATTTATCACATTATGTTATGATGACACACAATTGAAACATTCCATAAATAACAGAATGAAACCCATACATTTGTGTTAAAATGCACTTAATTAACGAAATACTTATATTGCTGATTTATTCCAGTTAGCCCAAATCAAAATGCAAGGCCATGCAAAAAGCCATGCTCTCTAAGGACATCCTGTTCCAACTGCACAAGCAATGGCATGGAGTGCATGTGGTGCAGCAGTACAAGGCGGTGCGTCGACTCCAATGCCTACATCATTTCCTTTCCATATGGACAGTGTCTGGAGTGGCAGACTGCCACCTGCTCCCGTAAGTGTTTATCTAGAGTGACTGTTTATTTAACAACAACATAAATCATATTTCTGTGACAGAACGAGGAATAAGACATTTTAGGAAGTTTCAACTAATGAGAAAAAATATTGTCACAGCCAGGTTTAAAATCTGCTAGTGGTATTAGCCTCTGATTTGTATTGTATCATCATTTTGAATTCCACTAAATATTTCCCCTAAAAATTAACATTTTGCCACATTTATAGTCTCTTCCCTCTGAACTCTTGAGTGTAGATGGGAGGCGACATGACACTTCATGGCAATGCTCACCTCAAGAATCACATATTGCTTTGTTGTGCCTCTTTAGTGTCCTTTAATGTAGTACAGTTCTCCTGTCTTCTTTTTCTTACATGACTTTGATATTTTTGAAGAATCTTTGTCAGTTGTTTTATAAGGCTGTAAATTTGTATTTGTCTAATTATTTTTTTATGATTAGATTCACATAAGCATTTTTTTTGATAAAAAATACCAATATTGATACACATATTACAAATGCAGGATGCGGAATCTTGGTGTCATATGGAGAGTCATGGCAGTAGAGCAGTGCTGGACTTGCTGTGGGTTACTCTTCAAGAGAAAGCTCTGCCCCTTGCTGGTCCCATATTTTATATGGAGTACAGGATAAGGATACATCTGACTGAAGTTTTGATACTGGGTATCCTATGGTTATGAGAGTGGCTCTGCTTGCCAAAATAGACTGCATCAGAATGCAGCTGCCAAGAGAATTACATCACTCTTCTGATAGCACTTGGAGGCCTGGGGGGAGTTCAGAACCTGTGCAGCTCCTTCTGCTTGGGAGAAGGTCCTTGCCCTGGCTAGTACCGTGCTAATAGAGAATATGGTTTGTCTTCCCATAATCCTGTCTCCCAAACTGCGGCTGATCAAAAATGTGCCTGTCCATAGGGACCTGAATTAATTGTTCTGTTCGTATTTAGAATTAGAAAGATGAAAAAGGTAACTCCTGCTGCTCCTGCCACCCACTTCTCAATGTTGCATCCATGTCCCACTCATAAGGTACTGTCCATCTTATAATTGATTTAGATTTTTTAAAAAAATAATATGCTTTGTAGGGGCCCAAGACTTACCATTTCATCACCACAGGTGGCTGTAGAATTATTTGAGATAGAGTTGGTGTCCAAATTTATGTTCATCCAGGGCTCCTTGATTTGAACAAAGCAAAACATTCATTTACTTGCTAAGTGTTAACAGGCATAGATAAAATGAAAGGAATTTTTTTATTCTTTCTCAGTTTCCTATTTCTCAACTTCTGAGTGTCAAGACAGAGGGATCAAGAATCCTTAGAATTTATTTTTTTTTCCAGTACTTAAATCTGTAAAAAGCAAAGTTTGAAAAGATTGCATTCAGTGAATATGCTGGTGTGTTTATGCCAGCCCTCAAAGCAATTGCAGTTATAGATCAGCCAAAGGGGACACAGATAATTACTTGGGGTGCAGTATCTGTTAAACTCAGGCATGTATGTGTTCATGGTTGAAAGTTATTAAATGGACAGAGGAAGAAACTATTTCAATTCTCTACTAGAGAAAACTCTCTAGATCTTTATCCCAAGTTTAAATCCTTTTTCTTAAAGATAGCTCTCAGTTCTCCATTGTTATTATCTTGCCTCTCCTCCCATCCTACAACTCTTTTAGGTCCAGTTCAGGGTTTTGCATCAGTTCACCAGCTTCCTTTTGTTCCTTTCTGCTGGGTATATTATAGGTTGAGCTTCTTGTTGCTATCTCCTTTTAGGGACTTTGTATAGACACTGAGGAGTTGTTGGTCTGAAGTAGCTTTGGTAGCATAGAAATCATCTTATAACTAGAGGCCAGCTGCTAGGGGAGTTGACTATCAGGGCTGGAGACTATTGAGGAGATGAGATGGTCTTTAGCCTCTCCTATCCTAAGTGGTCCTCTTTGTCTTTCCACAAACATTGATGTTAAGTGAAAGAGGCCAACCCACTTCAATCTAATGTATGAAATATGATATGTCAAGAGCTTTGTAATGTTGTGAACAACCAATAAAAAAAAACTAAAACTAAAACTAAAAATAAAAATAAAAAAAAAGAAAGAGGCCAAACATGGAAGACTAGGTTCCGATAGAGTTCATTTAGATAATATTAAAAAATGGACAAAACTAAACTGTATTTTTTAGGAATGCATATGTAGGTGGCAATAGAATAAGGCACAGACTTGTTCTCATAAATGTCAGGTAGTAGGTAGTTCCGGAAGAAGATTGGGGTGCTGACTGGGAAGTGGCAGAAGGGAGGCAAAGTTTCACTTTCAAGCTGTGCACAGGAACAGAGTGTTTATTTATAATACTTTATTAGTCTCACATTTTTCTTTATGTACTACTCCATATGTGTGATATATTTCACTTTAAAAAAGGAAAAAAGGTAGGTTAAATGAAAGTCTCTAAGCTTTTATTCTCTTAAGAATTTATAAGTTACTTAGAGTGAAATCTGAGTTATCTTCTCTGTCATGTGTGCCATTCCTGTGGCTGTGTAGGCTTCATTTGTGCCAATGATGTCAGCACTACTAAAAATGGTTGTTTTTGTTGCAGAGTTTTTTAATTATATGGTCTGTGCATCATTGTGGGGAAGAAGGGTATTGTATCTTACTTCAAGGCAACCTCCTACTTCTGCAAGTAGTACTTACCTGGCACTGATCCGCTTTTTGTGAAAAACAAATTTCTTTTCAATTATTATTATTATTTTTTCTTGTACTATTAACCAGCAAATTTGTACTGAGTTTTTAAAAAAAATGCCAAAAAATAAAATTGTGACTAGGGGTGAAGATGACATTCTTGCTCAAAATCTAAGAACTAAAGCAACTATTATTTTTTCAAGTTGTTGACCTTTGGATGATGACTTTTTCATGCTTTTAGCTTGCTCTCTCTCTCTCTCTCTCTCTCTCTCT